GTAAGTGTCCAAGGTCAAATTTGAACTTCTGACTCCAATTCCATCCATTATGCAACCTAGCTGCTCTATGATACAAACTATTCTTTCTTGGAGATCAAGAGATCCTCCCAAAGCAAATAGAAACCAAAATTCTCAGGAGTAAATCCTATTGTAGGTATCAACTCAATTTTTTGTTTCTCTTTGAGGCAGCAAAAAGATAAATTATATACAACCTCTACAGTCTACAGTAGCATTGATATTGAAGTCTGTGTGTGTGTGTGTGTGTGTTGGAGAGGGGATATCTTTGGTAGGAAATATGTTCATTTCTTCATTTCTTTAAACTTTGCAATAGATGAGGTGATGGTGAATAGAATCTCTACCACATAGGTGAGGTATCTGAGCACTTCTCCTCACTGAGCTCAATCCACACCATCAGATAAGTCAGGGAGAAAAGAAGTAAAAGAATGAGGTTTTGCAGGACAAGATATCTACTACTCCAGTCCATTAATCTGAGCTCTCAGGAACTGAAGGCTAATTATGTCTTCAGAATCATAGAAGACAACATTAGTAAGAGTCAGAGATCTCCAATTCTTGCTGCTTTCCCAGGAAAAGGTGAGCGCACAATGATAGGTAGAATACCCCAAACACAGTAATTGGACAAAAATGATGAAATCCATTGTAGCTAAAATGCAGTCCTTTCTTGGGACCAAAGTATTCTATCTGCTAGGCTACAGAGCAGTCCTGAATAAAGAGTGAAAGTACAGGGGAAAGAGAGAAAGAAAATCCTTAATTACCAACTATTTGGATAGAAAGCTTATGGAGCAGAGCATAACTACAGCTAAGACCAGGGAAAGCTAGAATACAGGCTCAGTACTCTCCAGTGGAAAACACTGATTGTCTTTATTTGTGGGATGATTTGTTTTCAAATATCAGGTGAAGAAAAAATGCTTCAGGGTTTATTCCTCAAAGCTGTGCTACAAAAGACAGTTTAAGAGACTAGGAGCCCCCCCCCCCCCCCGCACAGTGCATAGGGATATGTCACCATGGACAGGAGGCTGCTCCTTCAGTAGAGCCTGAGAAAAAGTCCAAAAAGTATAAATTGCAAACACCAACCTAGAGACAAATAGAGACATCAGATATTATGGTTGAACTGCTGAACTGGAAGAAGGAGCTCTCTCTCCTCCTCTTTAAAATTGGTGCTATTCCTCTTATCAGAACCCACTCAGCAGCTCTGTGGATTGAGAATCCTTTTGTTTAACTTATCTCAACAAACAAAGTTAATCTGATAGGAAATACCAATAAAAAGCTTCTGACAGAGCCATAATTCACTGAAAATTATTTTAGTGAGGCTTTTCTGTGTTGGTTTGTGGGTCTTCTTTCCTCAATGCTCCTTTTCTGCAATCTTTTTTTTTGGGAAGTTCTAGCCATTGTGGCATGTGCATCAATTCCCAAAATGCTTTGCAGTGATATTACCTTGGTATAAATTGGATGCTGCAAGGATTCAATGGAATCAGAGTTCAAAGAGAAGTCCAACTCCATCATTTTACAGATGAGCAAACTGAGCTCTGAGGAGATTAAGTGTCTTGCACAAGGTCATGCAGATAAATAAATAGCAATATCAGAATTAGAACCCAGTACCGCTAATTCCAAATCTGGCATTGTTCCTAAATTGCAGTGAATTTCTGTCAAGTTAGAGAGAAAGATAAGGCTAGAGAACTACATTGGGCAGGGGAAAGGAATTATTTTGATGTTGTCTCACTGTGACACAATAGGAATACTTCTACAAAACCGTGTAAATTGAATTTTCATAAATCAGATCATTATTCTAAATCACTAGGATGATATTTAAAAGTAATTGAGTGGCTAATACTATTGGAACACAGGTTGTTTTTAAGAAGCAGCTTGACATCATGCAAATGGCACTGGATTTTGAGTCAGATTTTGAGTTACTTTGTGTGACATTGGACAAGTCAGGAAAATCTCTGCATTTCCATTTCTTCATCTATTAAATAAGAAGGTTTAATTAGGCAATTTCCAAAGACAAACAATAAATACAATAAACATTCATTTAGTATTTTCCTACCATGTGCCAGGCACTATGATAAATACTGGAGTTAAAAATAAAAAAGACTGTCACTACCCTCAAGAAACTTACATTTCACAGGGAAGATATGTCATGATTTCTGATAATTCAATACAAAGTATTAAAAAAATAAATATCCAATGATTTACAAAGGTCACTGACCACTGAGGGAATCAAAAAAGGCCTCTTAAAAGGGCTGACAATTGAGCTGAGTCTTGAAAGAAGATACGAGGAGGTGGAGGTGAGGAGGGAGGGCACTTCAGGCATGGTGGAGGGCCCATACAAAGAAGTGCAGTCAGATAGTGGAATATCATGTATTGGGAACAGTAAGTAGTCCAATTTGATTGGAATATAGAATGTGTACTAAGTGGTGTAGTAGATAGGCTGCAGGTTCTGGAGTCAGGAAGACTCATCTTCTTGAGTTCAAATCTGGCCTCAGACACTTACTAGTTGTATGACCCTGGACAAGTCACTTAATCCTATTTGCCTCAGTCTCCTCATCTGTAAAATGAGCTGGAGAAGGAAATGGCAAACCACTCCAGTATCTTTGTCAAGGGAACTTCAAATTGGGTTGTGGAGAGTCAGAAGTGGCAAAACAACAACAACAACAAATGCTTCTTTTTCTTTGAATAGCTCTTTGTTTCTTAGCAGTTTTGCACTGGAAATTTTAATGTATGAGTGTGGCTAATGTGTAATTGGCATGGAGAGGTAGTCTAGATTGTGAAGGACTTTAAATGCCAGGGAGAATATTTCATCCTTATCTCATTGTGTGTGGGGAGTGGGGGGAGGGGCAGATTAGGGGAGGAGGTTGGAGAAGAGGTCAGCGAAGTTTCTTCAGGAGGGAGTGAAATGGTCAAACCGTTAGCTCTAAGTACTTTGAACAGATTTGTATTAGAGTTTCATAACTGAGAATCTATTTATCAGGTAAACACATTTTCCCAAGTTTGTGTTTGAAAAATGTATGTGCTGATGATTATACCAATATTTCCCAGAGAAACTGTTCCACCATATAATTTATCCCTTTGTTAGATTATTTTCTCCCTCATGACATTTGTTCTGATGTTTTCTTAGGAGACCCAATATAATCAACTTGTGCTTATGGACTTTGTGAATTTTAGGCATTGGCTACTTCATAAAGTAGCACATGATTGGCAGTGGGTCTATGGAAAAATTTCCAGGTAGAGAAAGTTTGTCCTTAGCACCTTTTTACATCTCTGAGTCTTTTTTCAATGCCCTTATTTCCCCTCTCCTTTACCCACCACCTAAGTCCTGAGTACCTCATGCTGTCTTGCTGCTGACCAATGCTCCACCCACCTTTAGCATTCTACTAAGATTTTCCCTCTTCCAAAGTAACCTATGCTCCAAAATTGCTCCCCTTTCATCATAACTTCCATTTTTATGAGGTGATAAATGAAAAATAACATAAAAGTCTGATTAAAATAATTAGCACTAAGATATCAAAGAACAAAAACAATATCCTATAGTGAATAGAGTGCTTGCCTTCGAGTCAAGAAAATCTGAGTTCAAATCTGCCCTCTGACACATGATGTCTATTTGACTCTGGAGTCACTTAAGACAACTCTCTAAGACTCTAAGTTGAAGAAAAGAGGCTGATTTGCATTGGTACAGGGAGTTCCTCACTGAGAACTCTCTATAGCAATGGCATTATGAAGGATGAAGGAGAAAGCAAGGCCTTAGAAAAGTGCTATTGTTTTGGACGCTGGGGGTGGTGGCTGGAGACTAGACAGACCACAAAGCAAGATTGTGTTTGTGATGCAAGCTAGGAGAAGAAGGTCCAGGTATGGAGACAATGGTCTCTGGATCATTTAGCAAACTTTTTCAAGAGTCAGCAGGTAAGCAAGTAAGATCCCCAGGTGTTGGCAGCCTTAAACAAGGTTCATGTTGCCCCATTCTAATTATGGCTCTGGAGCTTAATAACCCCAAAGTACCTTTAAATAATGGAATGAACTAGGGTGATATTTTCAAGGGACTTATGGGTGTGGGAGGAGGCCTCTTCTCTCTCATACTCCCTTAGATACCTCTCAACCCTCAGGCTAATCCTAAATCCAGCACTTACTACTTGTATGACCTTGGATGAGCCACTTAAAGGTCTTTGAACCTTGGTTTTATCCTCTGTAAAATGGGAATAATATTAGAACGCCTCAGTCTCAGGGTTTTGGTGAATATATCTATTATAACAAAATATATTAACATAATATATTTAATATAATATAAACATACTATTATATGTGTATATATAATATGCTATGATTATTCTTAGAGACAACTAGGGTGGGGTGAAGGCTGCTTTGGTAGCCACCTAAAAATGGGACCTGAGAGTAGAAGCGGCAAATGTCATTATTTTCCCTTATATAAAAGGATGCTCATGTCCTCACTGGCTGAATTGAAAGATTTAAAGTAGTGCAAATCACTGGCACTAGTGTACATATAAACTCTTCACCAAAGAAAAATACAGATGCTGAAATAAAAGGAAATGCAATTGTTAGCAACACTGACAAGGCTTGATTTGTGGAATAATTAGAACCTTTATTTGTCTCATTAGCCAGATGTTTACCAAATTCACATCCCTGCCTATCTTCCAGATGTTCCTTTCTCTTTGAATAGCTCTTTGTTTCTTAGAAGTTTTGCACTGGAAATTTTAAGAAGTCCAAAGAAGAATCTCTAGAATACAGGGTTTATGGAGAAAAGCACCTAGCTAATCATCTTCCTGAAGCCCCTAGCATGTTTATCTCCAGGCCCTTCCAACGAGATAATTTTCCATCGTAAACCTTTGAAGTCTTAGAATTATATCCCAAAGGGAGTGGGGATTTATATTTTGCCTATCTTGCCCATTTTTGCCCTATCTCCCACACTAAGAAAAAAAAAAACCTAGTTAATAGATTAAGTGTAATGTTTCTGTGGAATTGTTATTTCTCAGGGAGCGAGCATTGAATACAACCCAGCCTGGGTCCCTTCAACTTACAGTGGGAAACCTGAAGCCAGAAGCAACTTACACATTCCGAGTTGTGGCCTATAATGAACGGGGACCAGGGGAGAGTTCTCAGCCTATTAAGGTGGCCACCCAGCCTGAATGTAAGTATGACAAGGGACTGGCAATACAGAGCTTTGTTTCAAAAGCAATTTCTTTTTGTAGGATCTTAAATTTCCCTTTGGGAGTGTCTTTAACATAAAAAAGATAATATAAAAAAAAAAGAAGCAACACATTTCAATGCTTACACTCTAATCTTGTGATTATACCCATTTAAATGAAGGTTCTATGAACACCATTCCCAGTATATTCTCCTAAGATCTGCTTCTTTACAGGGCAGCTTGTTTTGCCTTGTAAAATGTTTACTTTATGTGATTATTTTAATCACTGACCCTTTTCTATCATATAAAAAGGTAGGTTTATGGATAAAATATTTTGAAATGGTACTTTTTTTTTGTTTGTTTTTTTGTTTGTTTGTTTGCTTGTTTGTTTTTGTCTTTGTATCCCTAGGACCTAGCAAAATACCTGATTCCTAGTTGATGCATAATAAATGTTTATTGAATAAATAAATGAATGAATCAATGAGATTGTTTATCAAAAGGATACATAATTAATAAGATCATACAACAAACACTTGTTAGGGATTTCAGTCATTAGGCACTACAGTTTATCACTCACCAAATGCTCACTTGGAAAAAAAAAAACATCATAACAAACTACTGTTTGTGGGAGCTAGGCTTTATTAAACCATCCATTCATCTAGAGTCTTTACGTTCCATTCCTATATTTAATTTAGATTAGCACACAATAATTCTCCACAGATGTCTTCACTGGGTTGTAATTTAATGCTGTGCCCTCTTCTTTTACAGAAGGCCAATATTTGAAATGCCCATTTGAAAAGCATTTCAGTTTTTTTCCTATCCTCTGCACCCCACCCTCAGCCATTTTAATTGTTTTGTAAAAACATAGTTGAAAATATGTCCATTGTGTCATCCAATATTTTTATATGAGAAACCCTGAGGAAAATGTATTGAATTTAATCCTAGACAAATTTGTATGCATCTTTCATCAGAAAATGAAATCTATGTAAGTTCACTTATTTCCCTTTTGATCTTGACCTGGATCACTTAGTTCACTGGAAGTTGTATTAATCATGTGTCTCTATCAACTGACTCTGTTTTCTTTTAATGATCTCTATACTGTAACTATTCCCAGTTATCATAAATTTGGTATATGAGCCACCTCAAATCAGTTTGGAAGATGGTAAGTTAAAATAATTTAAAATAAATTATTAAACAGTTAAAAATGACATTAAAGATAAAGTTATTGGACCAAGTGACTTCTTGATATGCCTTCCAAAAGCTTAAGATAGGAACTCAAGATCACTTAGGTTAATGGTAAGATGTGGTATGAATGGTGAAATCTGACTCTGATGACTTAGTAGAGTGTCCAGCCCATCTCATATTTGATGCAAACTCTAAATCCAATAAAATCAAACACAAAGCATACAGATGGAAAAAAATAAATCTTTGCTTGAGAAAGTAACACAGTAATGTTGCAAACCACTAAATCATATAGGCATGGCCACAGGGCAGTATCTTCATAAGTAAACTAAAAATGTGTAGAGTTGCAGCAATTCATGGGAAAATCTGGGTTCCAGATTCTCTTATCATTTTTCCCATTGAATTAAAACATGTATAGTTCATCTAAATACTTAATTTTGTTTGTGCAGACATAACCTTAGTCTTATTATGACTAGACTTTGGGCAGGCATTCACGTAGGTAAGATTGGTAGATGCTTATCCAACTTAGTGGAATACCTTGAATTATTTTCCAAGTAATGAGAGTTTGAAAAAAATCAATTTGAGTCAAAATATATGGTTTCTTTTTCTTTATGTAGCCTTGAGGGAATTCAATGATGCCCTAGAAGCATGGCAAGGAAAATTCTACAAAGAGACAATTTTGTCCCATTTGTCAAATTTTGAAACACAAATTTCTAACAGTATGTTCAATTTCAAAGTCACAATCCCTAAGGATGACATGAGTTCTATACTTAGCAAAGCACATTTGTTGTCCTGATATTTTTTTAACTTTCCCCAGGGCTGGCTGTTGGTGGCTGGAGAAAATCGCATCTAATTTTCATGTTTTTTTTTTAATGAAATATAACCAACACAGAAGTTCCATTTTAAGATGAATAACTTCCTTCTCAATATTAGTGCTGCTGCTATTCAAGTAGTGCTGCTGCTATTTGAAAGAGCTAGATTTAAATGTAGGCTTTAAACCATCCATTCACCTTGATTCTAGCTCGTTGGCTTAGGAAAGAAAACCCTCTACTTCTGATACTATTTTATTTTTCTAAGTTTCTAAGCTGAGGTATTAAGGCAGTGTTTTCTTTTCTGATATCAATCAATTACATTGTATTATGCTATCTTCTCTGAAATTTATAATTTTTGAGAGTCACCTATATCCCTGAGAGGTTAAGTGACTTGTCCCCTGTCACACAGCTAATATGTGTCAGAGAGAGATCTTGAACCCAGGTCTTTCAGGTATTAAAACTGTCTTTCTATCCACTATTTTAAGCTGCCTATATATTTCATGAGGAAAACATAATTGATTTTACAAAAAAAAAGTTTTGTTAGTGTGATTTGTAGGATTCAAGAGAAAAGTAATTAGCCAGATTTACTTATGCACTTGTTAAAATAAGCAAATAGTCTTTAAACAGTATCCTTTTTCTATGTCAAATTGATGTTCACTTGGCCTTCTAAAGGCAATGATGAACAGATTACTTCAATAATCTAGGGCTAAGTGATTTTTATTAGCGTGGAGGTATTTTCTGCCAACACAGACAGAAACTCCTTTATAAATTAGTGATTGTTTTTTAAGTGTTACTTTGTCCAAAAACTTGATTGCTCTGTGACCATATTGGTCATGGATCTCTCTGAACATAGGTAGGCTGGTGTTAAGACAATAAAAGTACATCCTAGTACCCATCCTAGAAGCTTGGTGGGCCTAGCTAAAATTTATAATTTATTTTATATTCCTCAGAAACCCAGTCTCCTTCAAGCCATGATGAAGTATTGTGCTACTATAGTTTAGTAGTATATGAATTACCTAGTATTAGTGTCCATTAAGACTGAAACAAATCAATAGTAGAACTTGATAATGTCATAATTTAATGCAAGTGTTTTTGGAAGACCTTATATGTTTCTAATACTGTGCTATATTTTATGGGAGAATACGTGAAAATTATATTAAGTGATCCTGCCCTTTAAAAGCTTTCATATGTCTTTCATGAGTAGATATATGCATTGATACATAAAACAGACAATATAAGCAAGACAGTAAGCAATGAGATGGAAACTGTATGTGAAAAAACAACAACAATAATAACAAAACCAGTAATAAACCATCTAGATTCACTAAGATGATTATTATCTGTGATGACAAAATACAAAGTCAAGTGGAAGACTTAATATAATAATCATCCAATCAACCTGTCTAAAGCAAATTATCAAATAATTCTGACCCTCAAATGTGATTTTGAAGCATTCATTAAAGACATACTATGTGCCAAGCATGGTGGATAGCTTCATCATTATTTAATTTAAGAAGCATTGCTTTATTCAACCATCATTTGTGGAGAGCTTGCTATATGACACAGTAGAATGTTTGTCATTTACCTATGTGAACCTAATCATGGAGTGCTTAATCAGTAGTAATGGAGGATATCAGTAGGTCATAGCCAAGTGAAACTTTGGTTGCTTAAAGCAGGCTTCATTTTGTTGTGTTCTTTTGCATCTGGCTCTGGAATTATAGGACCCAAACTCAAAAAATTCCTTCTCTGATGCTTATCACCTGTAGGACTTTGGACAATTTACTTAATGTCCAGCCTCAGTTTCCTCATCTTTAAAATGAAGTAGTTGGATTAATGACTATTCAAGTTCTAAAGCTATGATTTTATCAGCCCGTGGTCTGCTTTTCTTTTTCTTACAATTCAGAAAACAAAATATGGACCAGTTCCATATTAGAGACATTAAATACACTTGACATAAAAGAAAATAATATTATTTTTTTTAAACAAGAGAATTGGCCTGGCAATGTTATCTGTAACTTTAGTAATAACATTGATTCATTGACTCCCCTCTGCTTAAAATTGTACATAGTGAGCATTATTCCTCCTGGTGATTTAATTCTCTTTTAATGTACAATTCACTTAGGTAATTCATTTCTAAAGCGTTGAATACTTGTGGGTTATTGTTGATATGATAAGAATTATTATTATTATTGATTTAGCTTTGATAAACTATAATATTTAAGATACTTCATATATACACATGTGCACACACACTATACATATGTATAATGTGTGTGTATGTATATATACATATGTGTGTGTGTAAATTAAAACTCTCCCATTTCAATTGGATAAATAATAATGTACCTGAATTTTTTCATTACAAATATTAGAATAAATAAACTATAACATTATGCATAACAATGACTATGTATGGTTTATAACTTATCTTAGTTAACACAAAGTGATATTTTAGCAATTTAAAAACATTTTGTGGTTTAAAAACCCTTCCTATATTCTAAGACTGCTCAAACCACATAAATTACTTGCCAAGGGAAGTAGAACACCCTGAGGAATCCTGGCATTCTGTCCTTCTTACAAAGTGATCTTTTTAGTGGAAAATCATATGACTTATTTTATTCTTGGCCAAACTATAATAATTTAATGGCAAGGAGAGAATATTTCCCCATCATTATTGCTTTCTCTGACCAAATGATCTTATCTTTTGGAATTGGGTCTCTTATGTGTAGGTATTCAGTGTGTTCTTTTATCACAAGTTTCTCAAATGTGCTGTAGTTCTCATACAATAAAATTACACATCTTTTCGACAAATTGAATTTCAAGATTTCTGTATTATTTGAAAATATCAACAGTATTATGCAATTCCATATTCTTAAGGAATAAAAAAATATGATGTGAAGCCTGTCTGAAATGCAATTCAGTCAGTGACTGTTTCTAAAAGTGCATACATTTTTCAGTAATCAGTTTAAGAGATCAACAGCCCAAGATCCAGCTTATGAAATAATCATC